CAACTCTTTTCCACCACTGGTAGGTACATATTTTGCATTTTCTGGCACATTTGACTTTGTTTTAAAGAATATTTATTTTTAAAACAACTGTCTTCCATTCTTGACATCTCAGAACATTTTTGGCTTTTATATTATTTCTGCCTTTATTTATGAAGCTCCTGACGAAAGGAAGAATTAGAATTCATTTTCCACTTACTAAAGGTATCTAAACCAACTTTTATCCCAGTTAAAATGAAGAGCATGCTGGCTTATTTGAAAACTGGAAAAGTAAGCTGTGAGGGCGTCACAGACAATTTTAAGATGAGATGTATATAAAAATACCTGCAGAGTAGGTTTTGACCTAAGAATCAACATTTTAATCATCACCCCAGGTAATTATGACACGGATAGTACTTGGATTATACTTTGTGAAACATCACAACGTTTTCTACTATTACATGAATGTTATCTAAATCAGCAGGTATTTAAGCTAATTTACTCTTTTATAAAAGGCTGTGTAAAAGGGGTTGCAGTATAAGATGAGCCACAATGCTATGAAATGTTCTTTAAGGTAAACTTAACAGGAGATTCTTGACACTGTATTTAACCCGATATAGAAGGATACCAGACGCTGATGTCTGAAAACACTGAGCTCTGAATTTCATCTCTACTAGTAGTTTTATGTGTTGTTTAGCACATCCTTTAATTAATTTTATTTTGTTTATTTATTTTTGTTTTTATTTCTGGAGACAGAGTCTCTCTCTGTCCCCCAAGCTGGAGTGCAGTGGTGCAATCTCAGCTCACTGTAAACTCCGCCTCTCAGGTTCAAGTGATTCTCATGCCTCAGCCTCCCGAGTAGCTGGGATTACAGGCGCATGCCACCATGCCCTGCTAATTTGTGTATTTTTAGTAGAGACAAGTTTTTGCCATATTGGCCAGGCTGGTCTCAAACTCCTGACCTCAGGTGATCTGCCCACCTTGGCCTCCCAAAGTGCTGGATTTACAGGCATGAGTCACTGCACCCAGCCCCCTTAATTCATTTTAGAGTCAATTTTTCATCTGTAAAATGGTGATTATAAAAATATTTACCATACAGTGTTGCTGAGAAGATAAAATGCATTAATGTATGGAAATAGCATAGTTTCTATCACATAGTAGGATTTCCTCAAATAGTATCTACACTGACCTTTGTTGTTTGCTTTCTGATTTCTCTAGTGTGGGTATAATTTGAGTACATATATGCAAACTCATGTGCGCATACACACACATATCCATACATAGAAAGACAGAGAAAGAGGCAGAGGGACAGAGACAGAGCCAGAGGCAGATACAGAGGAGGACAGGGGCTTTTGGTTTTAGAAGACGTCTAACCTCAAAGGTTGCATATCTAATCTTACCAGGAAAAAATTCTAGGTAACTATTTTAGGTTTGTATGTAAAGAACATAAATGTGCATGAGTCTAATCTGAGGGAAAAAATAGCTAGGGCTAGGTGTGAATTCTATCTTTGTAATGAGTACTTCTATCTTTTGATTCATCCTCTCAGCAAGTAAGGGATTCCTTCTCATTGATATTTCTTCAAAAGGCATCCTGTGACTGCCTATGCTCCACCACAGAATTGCTCATGAATGAATATACAGAGCACTTCTAAACAAAAAAAAGAAAGCAAAACTATTCTCACATAGTCCTAAGAATACGGCTTTGAGACAATCCAAGAATGAGTATTACTACTCGGCTAAACTATTGGGAAATCTCTGCATCAGTGTTCCACAATGTTATTTGACCTTTATGATGGGGAATAGATAAAAACGTGGGCATGGAGTTGAGTTAGGAAATTTGAGGTGGTGTAAAGTGGTCTGCTAAATGACCCAAAATACACTTATGTGCATTCCTTTCACCTTATTTCATTTTATGCAATTTAAATAGCAAATTAAAAATCATATAGAATTTGGACCATCACAATTCATGTGAGAAAGATGACTATAAACTGAAAAGCATCTTGAGGCTGGCCTGTACAGGTCTGAAGCCCCGCAGGAAGCCTGTTTTAAAGTCAGCCTTTGTCTTCATACTTTAAGAGTGGCAAGAATACATTTCTGTTCACCACCACTTTGAAGCTGATCCTTTTCCATTTTTTTTTTCCTCACGTAAATCCTCTCAGGGCCTTTTCAGAGAGCATAATAGGCATATATATGTGGTTTTCAGCAGGACAAGAGTGCGGTCAACTATTGGTTTCTTATTTTGTTCCTGGTACAAATAGTCTGCAAGCTAAACATAATCTCATCATGCAATTCAGCATTTGTGCTTGTAGGTATTTATCTAACTGATTTGAAAACTTATGTCCACACAAAAACCTTCATGTGAATGTTTATAGCAGCTTTATTATAATCTCCAAGAACTGGAAGCAACCAAGATGTCCTTCAATAAGTGAATGAATAAACAAACTGTGCTTCGATCAATGCTATTATTCAATGATTTTTTTTAAAAAATGAGCGATCAAGCCATGAAAAGACATAGCAAAGCCTTAAATGCATATTGCTAGGTGAAAGAAGTCAATCTGAAAAGGCTATATACTGCATTTTTCCATTTATATAATATTCTAGAAAACAAGGACCTTTAGAGATGATAAACAGATCAGTGGTAGCTGAGGTTTGTTAAAGGGGGACAGTGGAATAGGTGAAGGTGAAAAACGGGATTTTGTAACGTGGTGAAACTGTTTGGTATGATAGTGTACTGTTGGATACCTGACAATATGCATTTATCCAAACCCATCAAATTGTACTACCGAAAGAGTATACACAGTAAAAATCATCTAGGAGTCAGGTGATTCCAGGCTGTAATACAGACTGTGACAAAGAGTTTACCATGTTGAAAATGTATGAAAAATCGAACTGAAGTGGATGGGGGAAAAGGGACAGATCTAAGTACCTTTAGAAATTAGCGTACAATATAAGATTAATGGCAAAAGGAACTGTAAGCACTGTAACCCAATTGGTAAAGTTTTATTCTGTGGTGGTACAGGCTAGCAATTCTGAAACCACTTTACATATATACTGGAATTGCACAGTTAAATAAATTAGATAGCATATGGCATCAGCTAGGTTTTTCACGGTTGGAGTTGGAGAGTACAGATAAGCAAGTTTTTAAGGGAGGCCAGAATGATCCATGTAGTACAGGTTGACAGTTGGAAACATCAGTATGAACTCATATTTACTTTACTAGAGATAGATATACATAGAGGTATTTATGGATATTTGTATGCACATCAGTTAGCGTAGATACATGTATGTTGTTACTCTGTCATCTGAGTGGGCCTAGAGGAAAGGCAACTCAGTAGTAATAAAATACCCAGAATTCAGATATTGGTTTCTAATGTCATTCTCCAATAAAAGAAGCTAGGACCCCTTGGAGAAATGGCTGATTCTAGGGCTGGGTCAGGGAATATATAGGATGAGCGTAGAGCTAAAGACACACACACAAACAAAACAAAACAAACAAATAATTAAAAAAATTTAAAACCCTCCACAATGATAAAGAAAGGTCAAAGGAATATAGGAGCCAACTGGGAGAGCTCCCAAAACCGAAAGCTGGAAGGATTCGAGCAACAAAATGAATAATGTAGTGTTGGATTACAACCCAGAGAATAAAATAAGTATCTGTGAATTCATACTGATATAAATAAATCATTAAATAAATAAATAATTAAATAGGAGAGAAGAACCAGATCACAAATCTCCCATGCAGAAGAATTACAAATTATTTATACGAATAGTCCCCTCTTAAGAAGGTAGAGCATAATTCCCTACCTTTAAATATGGCTGCATATTGTGACATTCTTTCAAAGATTGCAGTATGGAAAGAGGGAAAAACAGTAACTTCACAGTGGAGGAACCTGACAAACACCACATCAGTCAGGTGATGAAGGTCATCATCGAGTCTCGGGTCATGTTGATAATACGTACTCTTGCTATGATGACAATGGCACCTTACCTCTGTGGTTTTCCTCCTGCAAACTCAGAAACTCTCCCAAATAACCTCAAAGAAACCCACACTGAAGGGCAGTCCATAAAATACCTGACCCATGTTCCTTAAGATTGTTAAGGTCATCAGAAACAAAGAAAGTCCGAGAAACTGTTATAGCACAAAGAGACTAAGCAGACGTGAGTAAATGTAATGTGGTATTCTAGATAAGATCCTGGAACAGAAAAATGACATGAGGGAGAAAGGAGATCTAATTAAAATTTGGATTAAACCAATATTGATTAATTGTGACAAAATGTGCCTTACTAATGCAAAATGTTAACAGTGGGAGGAATTAGGCACATGTGAACTCTACTTTCTTTGCATGTTTGGGTAAATATAAAACTATTTAAAAATTAGAAGTTCATTTTTTAAAATCTAAAATAGAAAATATGTGATTTTTATGTTTAAGTGGCTTATATTAGTTTTACTAATATATATTGTAAACTAAAATATATCATATATATTGTAATATATAATGTTATATTGAACATTTCTTCCTCATTATTAAATATCGTTTTCATAATGGGAAAAAAAAGGAAAGGAAGAAAATATCCCCACAAATTCACAAGAACTTAGAGGTGATGAAACCTTAGATCCCACATTTCAAGTTAGAGGGAAAACCTCTGAATTCCTGAGTTATAGTGGCCAGTTATTTCTCCCAGTTATCCTAACCCAAAATAGCTTCCCCTCATTTCCAATGACACTCATTCTGTCTTCTTTGTCATTCTTCTCATTTAATCAATTCAGATTATTGCAGCGAGAATGTTAAATGGAAAGTCCTAGACTGGCATCTCGTTTACCTGTAAGAAAGGTAGAGCTGTAAGGACCCCTGCTGTATGCACCGTTCCCCTGGGTGCTTCAGCCTTGACCCACACAGGTCGAGCTCCTAATGAGAAACAGTTTAAGCCTCCCTCACTCATTCATCCCTGTCCTCTCTCCTGAGACTGCCCACAAGAGAAGCAATTAGGGCCAATTGTGGTGCTGGTTGGCTGCCTTTCAAAATAGAAACCATCGGAGCAGTGTGAAGAAGAAGAGGCGAGAACGACCCCCGGACTGACCAAAGCCCGCGCGCGCTGCATCCCGCGTCCAGCACCTACGTCCCGCCGCCGTCGCCACCATGCCCAAGAGAAAGGCTGAAGGGGATGCTAAAGGAGATAAAGCCAAGGTGAAGGACGAACCACAGAGAAGATCCGCGAGGTTGTCTGCTAAACCTGCTCCTCCAAAGCCAGAGCCCAAGCCTAAAAAGGCCCCTGCAAAGAAGGGAGAGAAGGTACCCAAAGGGAAAAAGGGAAAAGCTGATGCTGGCAAGGAGGGGAATAACCCTGCAGAAAACGGAGATGCCAAAACAGACCAGGCACAGAAAGCTGAAGGTGCTGGAGATGCCAAGTGAAGTGTGTGCATTTTTGATAACTGTGTACTTCTGGTGACTGTACGGTTTGAAATACTATTTTTTATCAAGTTTTATAAAAATGCAGAATTTTGTTTTACTTTTTTTTTTTTTTTTTTTTTAAAGCTATGTTGTTAGCACACAGAACACTTCATTGTTGTTTTTGGGGGAAGGGGCATATGTCACTAATAGAATGTCTCCAAAGCTGGATTAATGTGGGGAAAACACCTTTCCCTTCTAGTTTTGGGAGACTTCCTCTTGGTTCCCAGGAGGAGGGAGTCCCTGACTTTGACACACATGGCCACCTTGGCACAAAAGCCTTGTGGTGTGGAAAAACAAATTTGTTTTTATGTCCTCTTCTCCCTTTCCATCTTTCAGCATAGACTTAACTCCCTTAAGCCCAGACATCTGTTGGGACCTGACCCGTAGTCATTGGTTACCAGTGTGTCAGGCAATCTGGACTTTCCAGTGATGCCACTGAGATGGCACCTGTCAAAACAGCATTGGTTCCATTTCTAGATTGTGGATCTTCAGATAAATTCTGCCATTTTCATTTCACTTCCTGAAAGTCAGGGTCGGCTTGTGAAAAGTTGTTAAACAACATGCTAAATGTGAAATGTCAACCCTCACTCTAAACTTTCCCTGTTCAGAGCATCAGATGAAGACTTCATTGGGTTTTATAGTGGCTTTCTGATTTTTGGTAGTCCATTGAAGAAGGGAGTTTGAAAGTTGTTGTATACTGTTAATGATTGTCTGCCCATGTCCTGCCTGAAATACCATGATTGTTTATGGAAAGTATCTTTAATAAAGCTGGATACAGTTTGGCTTGGAAAAAAAAAAAACAAAAAAAAACAAAATAGAAACCATCTCAAAATCCATGTAAGGGCTTGCCTTACTTTCAGCTTCCTTACAGACTGCAGAGACATTTGGTGACAATACTGAGAATTACCCAGATTATCCATGGAAGCCTGTAATAGTCCAATTACCAACACTCGTTTGCAATCTTACTGTGAACTTTCTCTGAAATCAGAAAAGGATATGCTGCAACAGGTATAGAGGTGGTGGGTGAAACAAGGAAGAAAAAAGAAAACTCTTCTGAGAATGAAATTGTTTTCTTCAGTGACTCAAGGCTCTAACAGATTAGGTGACTACCAGAAGCCCTGATGTGTGCTTTAATAACCTTAACCATTGTGGGGAAATGGCTTTTCCACAGACTATGAAATCTCATAGCAAGCTTGTGTCCATTATATGTTTTCCTATTATATGTTGACTTGGGGAAAACTTTCTGTTGTTTTTTGTTTTGTAGGTTTTTTTTTTTTAAATAGACCCTGTGTTTTCTTCTCATGAGTTAGATAACACCAAAGCATTCTAGAAAGTTAAAAAAAAAAAAAAAAAAAAAGCTGAAAATGAATGTGTTTGTCTGTTACCTAGTTTAACACTGTGAACAGTTTTTTCTTGCGTTGCAATTAAGGAATAATGACCCAATTCAGATTTAACTGAAAAGTTAGGAAGCCCTTGTTAAACTGTTATAGGCTATTGTTAAAAGTTCCATCCTTCAGGGAAAGAGAAAGAAACCAAAATTTATTTTCCCTCTGAGGATGTTTTTCCTTACCAATTCAGAAAAGGATTATATAGATATCTATTAAATGCTTAATTTCCATAATAAAGTAATAAGTACTGCTTTAATTTTTTTTCTTTTTCTTTTAAATAGAGCTATTAATATTCTGTTATTTGGAGTCTGTGCTCTTCTTATTTACCTTTAGCTGTCTGATCATAAATCAAGAGCTATCATTCATAGAGACAGGAGATGACTGACTTCTCAGCTTCAGTAAGAATTCTTCCCAACCCTTAGTCCTATCCATCAGCTTCGGCAGTGAGAAAGGCGCCATGTGAAGAGACCTCTCAGGTTATTATTTTCTCCAGAACTTTGTTTACATTCAAATTTCAACTCTCTTAAAAGTTTTTAAAATGTTTCTCTTTTCTTATAGTCATTATCTTTTAAATTGTAATATTAACATATATGCACACCGTCGCTATATTTCTGGAATACTGGAAATTGTGCAATTGCGTGCATAAACCATTTGCTCATCTCTTCTTTTTAAGAGCATCTGTGTTTCTTCATGACTGCTCATTTCTATAGTTTATAATTTTCATTTCGGAGAATTCTGTGCTCTAGACCATTCTACACTGGGCAGTGACAGCTGTGTCACCTCAGATAGGATTATAGTTTAAAATTGAGGGTTCTACCAACAAATCACTTGCAAAGAAGGCATAGGCTGTGTATGTGTGTGTTTCAATGGAAGTGTTTATGCGCTAATCAAGATTGTGTTAATCAACTCATATCTCTTTGATTGTTCCCATTAGGCCTCTTGCAGCTTATCAGTGCTCTGTTGGCTCAGGATCCCTCTGGCTGCTCTGTCACTGCCCTTCAGAGTAGGAATGCAGATGTTAGTGAACCTGGATTTGTTTATATTCAAATGCATTTGTTGTTCAGGTAGAAAGAGACCACTCTGCCAGACCATGAACTTTCATGATACAGATACAGAAAAAATAGGATTTCACAGATCTTATGAACAGTATGTGGAATAAAAGATATCAAGTGCTAATCCCTGGAATTTGTTCATGTTACCTTATACAGAAAAGGAGTCTTTTTGGATGTAATTAAGTTACAGATCTTGAAATGAGGAGATTACCTTGTGTTAATCCAGTGAATCCTACATGCCTTCACAAGTGCCAATATCTATTTTATAAGTGCTCTTATAAGAGAGAGGCAGCAGGTGGTAATATAGACACAGAAGGAGAAAGCAATGTGAAGACAGAGGCAGAGACCGGGGTGGTGCAGCCACAAACCTAGGAATATAGGGCAGCCACCAGGAACTGAAAAAGACAAGGGAAGCATTCTTCTGTAAGTCCCCAGGGAAGGTGGCCTTGCTGGATCTGGACTCCTAGCTTCCAGAACTGTGGGATGATACATTTCTATTGTTTTCAACCACCAGGTTTGTGGGAATTTGTTACAGCAGCCTCGGGAAACTAAAACAAAACTAAAAACTCATAGAATGTTATATTTCATAAATACGACTCCTCATAGTCTTATTAAATTATCGAAATTCTTTAGGATCTTCATCAGCACGACTCTTGGGCATGACCACCCTCTCCTGCCCCAACAGCTGCACTGTTCAGTGCTGTAACCACCCACCGCATGTGGCTATTGAATAATTAAAATGTAGCTACTGGGACTTGAGGAACTGAATTTTTAATTTTTATTCAATTTTAATTAACTTAAATTTTTAAAACTTATTCTTGATTCAGTTATTGGAAAACTTTTAAAGTATGCTCAGAACAATTTAGGTATGTGAATTTACTTTCCCAGCTCTAAATCTCATGAAATATAAATACACATCAAATATTTCCAATTAAAATTTAGCATTACCAAACTGAGATGTGCTCTACATGTAAACCATACACTAGATTTCAAAGACTTCTGAAAAAATAATGTATAATATTACATTAATCATGTTATATTGATTATATGTTGAAATGGTAATATTTTTGATATATTTTATCTAAGAAAATATACTAGTAAAATTAATCATATTCATTTGTAATTTTTTAAAAGGGGCTGCTAGAAAGTTTAAAATTACATGTTTCTCACATTGTATTTATTTTGGCCAGGGCTGCCCTACAGTCTCTCTTCTGATTTACCCAGCAAACTGGTCTTAGCAAAAAGTCTGATTTCTTGTACTTTATAGACCACATCATGCACCCAACTTGCCATTGTCTGGAGGACTATGACCATATCTCCATTCTTATGGATGGTTAATTTATTTGTCCTTTTGAATAAAAATGATCACTTTTAGAACTGGAATTTAAAAATAAACATTATTACCTTCATTCATTATAGCATGTGAAAGAAAAATAATCCAAAATTACACGTCTACTTTTAAAATATTTTTATTTTTCTTCAACTTTTATTTTAAGTTCAGGGTACATGTGCAGAAGCGCAGGTTTGTCATATAGGTAAACATTGCATGTCTTTTTAAAAAAGACAATATTCTAGATGATCGTTATTTGAGGATGTTTACAGTGTTTGGGAATTAGACACCCTGTCTTGAAGTTTGAAGAGCTTTGGCAAATATTTCCCAGGCCAATTTCTTGTTTCTCTTGAGAGTTCTTTGTGTAACAGCAATATTTTTATTATTGCTTTGTTCTGTGTGCCTCATGAATCTCTTTTAAATAATTTTAAAATAACATGCTAGATACTTGTGTAAATAAACAACTTTATTTTGATGAAATTAATTGAACATGTCATTTCATTTGGGCAATACAATAATATTTCTAATTTCTCTGTTATTACATTGAATATAGTCTATGTTTACTGGTTTTGGACACTAAACATAGTGAAAAATAACTCAGTAGAACCAAGGATTATAAGCAGAAAGGTATTTTATCTACTAGTATATGCTGGACTGATTGTGGATCTGAAAGCTAGAAACGATAAACAAAACCGGAGTGTGGCAAACCTCTCTTATTTAGTATTTGGAAGTCGTTCAATTTTGTTTTGCCTCTTTCTCCTCCTGATTCTTTAATTAAAACATGCTCTCCCATGGGCCCCTCCCACATTGCTGCCACACTTACCCCAGATTCTCTTGGCTTTAAAGGAGTGTTAAAAAAAGAACTGACAAGTATATCACTTAAATCACAAAAGCTACAGGAGCTGGAAAGAATTTAATAGTCCCCCTATTTCACAGATGAGAAATTGTTTAGAGTCAAAGCCAAAACTAGAACAAAGGGTCTTCTGCTATCAAATCTAATTTTCTTTCTGCTAAATCATATGTTTTCACTAAAAATGACCTGAAAATACCTTAAATATTATGTTTCTGTGTGAGCTCCCAACTCCCCAAGTATGTAATAAAAAATGAAAGGCCAGTCCTTATAAAAATTTGAAATGATGGTAGTTGTTCCTATACCATTATACCTATGGATGTCTCCTGAATTCACAAGGTGCTCTCCAAGCACTCACCCCTCCTACTTTACCCAGAATATCTGCTGATAAAATAGCGTTATGTTTGTAAGGTAAGGACCCTAGACACAAGTATTTCCTACAGTAGTTGTAACTGTGTCCAATGGTATATATAAAGTCCCATGTAAAGTTTCCAAGAGGAGTATTAAATTCTTAGTCACATACATAAGTGTTCTGGACTTGGAGATTAATATGCATATTTCAATTTTTTAATTAAACATTATTTAATATGGCATTCTACTTTCAAACTAAATACTGGTTGTTTCATTTTGTGAATTCAGATAGTAGGAATATTCAAAGTGTAATTTGAAGAAAAATTAATACTATGGTCTATATTGGGACATCTTTAAACACTTTCTTTAACTTTTATTTTAAGTTCAAGGGTACAAGTGCAGGTTTGTTATGTAGGTGAACTTGTGTCGTGGGGGTTTGTTGTACACATTATTTCATTACCCAGGTATTAAGCCTAATACACATTAGTTATTTTTCCTGATCTTCTCCCTCCTCCCACCCTCCACCTTCTGAAAGGTCCCAAGCCCCTTCTACGTGTCCATGTTTTCTCATCATTTAGAACACTTTTAAAATGCTATTTATTTAATATCTAAGTTTGCTTTTCAGTGTTCATGCCCACAAATTTCAGACTTATATACTATACTCAAGATGTACTTTTCTCTGCACTTTAAGTCTTCCTCTTCTAATGACTAGATTGTTGATTCACGTATGGAGGTCTTAACACACTGGTTTTAGTAACTGACATAGTGTAGTATGTGCATAGTCATGGTGACTCGGTCAGGAAAAGCGCACACAGTTAGAGATGGGCAT